TAATAATAATAATAAGTTGCGCTAATCCACCAGAGGGCAGAATACAGGTCTCAAATTATATACAACAGGTTTTTGAGGAAAATATTGACCACATTGATAAACTATAGGTCACAGAATCCTGCGTAGCAAATATGATACAAATGGCGATAGGCTTGAAGAAAGATTGAAAAAGTTAATTTGTATAAACTGAGTCACAAAGTTGTTTTGTGAACTTGAGATGAAGATATGCACAGCCGCAGCGGTGAGAAGAATTCAAATCTTTGGCTTCAGTGTGGTCATGACACAGTGTGTTACAATGAAAGCCACTTTTATAAGTTGTGTTACTTCAGAGGTTATAATCAATGAAAAGATCTAAAAGTATCTGTAATGATAGAATAAATAAAATGTTGTCATTTAGGATTTATCACAGATGGAAACTCCAAACTGGTGGGGAACGCCCGTCTTCGTCAGCTGAGAGTGAAGAAGAACTCGTGTCAGATTGCTGGCGTCATGCGTGCATTAGAGCCAGAATGTGATGCTCCGTATTCATGGGAGGCGGAGGACACGGGGTCCTATAATCCAGGCTGGAACCACACGGTGACACATAACGTTTCTGCACGCACGTCCAGTCCGTGGAAGTACCAGACCCAATCTGAGCTCAGGACACCACCTTTCTGGGGCCGACTGCAGCTCTACAAGGGAGGTGGCTTCGTAGCGGATCTCGGCCCGGATTTAGAAAATGCCAGTCGGTATGTTCAACAACAAATTGCCTGACAATTGTGGCAGTTCATTTATGTATTTCCTCTGAACAAATGTTATGTTCTTCATCCACAGCACACTGGAGTATCTTTTCATAAATAAATGGCTGGATGTGTACACGAGGGCAATATTTGTTGAGTTCACTGTTTATAATGCAAATGTGAACCTCTTCTGTATCGTCACATTCTTGATGGAGAGCCCAGCTATAGGTAGGATTTATAATCATCTATACCTTTTATGCAGATAATCCTGAACAGGATATAACATCAGATCATATTGTAAAGTCAAGCAAAGCAAATGACACAAATCCAGTGTTGTATAAAGTACCACAAAGTGATGCTTGAGTTAAAGTACAATTATTTTACTAAAAAAATACTGTGGTAAAAGTTAGTCTTCTTTGGGAATATTCCTTGAGTAAAAGTCTTAAAGTACCTGACGTATTTTGTACTTAAATATTAAAAGTATAGATTTAAAATGAGTAGTTTGATTTTCTGTAAGGACATTTATTAGGAGGTGACCTCCGCAAAAACTGCAGAAATGACTGTTGAATTAAAATAAATAATTTGTTAAATTAAGGATGCACTAGTCCAGCTGTTTCAGTTTATATACATATATCAAGGCTGCACAAAGCTTTTCCCCAAAATGAAAATCTATCTGAGGGCTGCGGCCAAATGTAGTAATATAATTCATGAAATACAAATACTTCTTAAGTACAGCCCTTTTATTTTAATGATTATGTCCTGCTGGAGTGTGACACGATTTGTTTGTGAACAAATTAATACGGTATCAGAGTTTTATATATTTATACTTCTCATTCAACCACAATTAAATTCACTCTATCTTGGAAGCACAGTTTATATGGATAGTTTTTATATTTTACAATAACAAGCTGGAATGAAATAAAAGTAACGACTTTCTACTTCTTGCCTTTTTAAAATTGTAAGGAGTAGAAAGTACAGATGATTGTGTGAAAATGTAAAAAGTAGATGTAAAAAGTAGGCTGAGAAATAATTATTCAAAGTACAGATACCCAAAAATTCTACTTAAGTACAGTAAAGTATTTGTAMTAAGTTACTTTACAACTCGGCACAAATCTAATGCTAGTTTTTTTATCGTCCAGGAGCTTTTCAGYTCTACAGTGAGCTGCGGAGTGTTCGACTTTACCCATCAACCGGAGGGCTGTACTTCTTCGTCATGGCCTCTGAGATTATCTATTTGCTCTTTGTCCTTTACTACATGTTTCACCAGGTAAATTTCTTAGCTAGCTTGTTTTTTGTTTGTTTGTTTGTTTGTTTTCACACATCATATTTATTCAAATTTCCATTTGAAGCAGAGGTTTATTATTTTTGCTGGTGGCTTCATAAAATCACAAAAAGTATATTAGGTCCTGTCACAAGATTCTGGTAGAACTTATCTAACAGATTTACATCAGATGTTTTTTTAATTAATCCATTTAAAAAAATTATCAATAAACAGAACTAAGAGATTTGTTTTTCTAAATCTTCACCAGCTTTTTTAAGGCTCAACTCAGAGTTTGAACCCATGACCTTCTTGCTGTGAGGCAACAGTGATTACCACTTATCCACCATGCTGACCAAATAATTGATTGTTGACCAAATAATTTTGTTTCGTGACTCTGGCATACAAATCAGCAGTGTTGTGTATTTGTACAAAATATGACAACCACTTAATACCCACAAAATAAAGACCGAGCACCTTTGGTTCTTGATTGTGTTTTTATTGTTTGTTCAAAAATGAAAAGCATGCTGTATTATTTTGTACTTTTTTATATTGGTATTATGCTCTTCCATCCATCCATCCATCCATCTTCTTCCGCCTATCCGGGGTCGGGTCGCGGGGGCAGCAGCTTCAGAAGGGAGGCCCAGACCTCCCTCTCCCCAGCCACTTCTTCCAGCTCCTCCGGGG